ACTACACACACCTGGAGAACACACACAGTCACTACACACACCTGGGGAAACGTACATAGAACACAGTATGAGGAAGCTCAGAGTACCTGGTAGCTGCTGGATAAGAACTGCTGCAGCTGCAGGGATCGATCCAGAGCTTTGTGACGAGATCTGCTCTGCTGCTGCAGCTGACTCCACCTACACAGGTGAACAGACACAAAGGTGATCAGACAGGTAAACAGAAGCCATGTTTCCAAGATGTATTTTTACGTGCATTCTATAGTGTCTCATTACTCAAAAAGTTTAAATGGAAGTGGCAGAATTCTAAATATTGGATGGTTAGGATGGAGGGAAAAACAAAAACAAACAAAAACAAATCCCTGCTTTAAACTTTTACAGAAGCCGTTTGTCCATAACAGATTCGAATTTTAAAAGATGACCTTAAAACAAGTCAAAATTCAAGACAGTTTTTCCCAATTTGCACAGAAGCTTTTCCACTTTTTCTTGTTTGCTTCTTAGAAGCGTTAATGAGCTTCATGGGGGATGGAAACAGCTTTTCCAGTCACATGACGGATCAGCTGCTCCCGCGTGAAACATGGCCGACGTCAAAGGATCATTAGAACTGAAGTAGTTTCCTGAAGACTTCCCTACAAAGTTTGGTTTGTTCCTTCCTCGTTTTCTGTCATTCTTAATTAATGTTATGACAAACGTTTGTTTCAGTCAAATTTGAGTTTTTTTCCAAGTTTTAGCTAAAAAAAAAAAAAAAAACTAAAAACACGAGTTCAGTTTTTGCATTTTTAATTTTTATCTCATCTGAACTGCAGCTGTCTCCATATTTTAGCACATTACCATGGTTACATGTGTTACTCTGGTCCATGTCCACGTGTCCCTCTGCCTATAGCGCCACCTTCTGATGACACTCGGCAGCTTTGTTTGTTCAGCAGGTGAAGGACACATTTCAAAGCCTGCCCTTCGGACTCACTGCACACGTTGCATCTGAGGTGTTACCTGGTGGTCAGCGCTCTGCTCTTGGCTCTGATGTTGTCGGCGTCATAGTGTTTCTGCTGGATCATGCTCTGGCCCAGTTTGTCCACCCGGTCCAGCTGCTCCCACTGAGCCTCCAGAGCCTCCTCGAACTGAAGCTGCTTCCTCTGCAGCGTCTCCACCTCCGTCACCGAGCTCTGAACGCACAAACACAACGGTGCTGAGTGCTCAGTGTTTCCCCCGTACTGGGTCGTCGACCACAGAATCTCATCCTCACCCCGAGGTCCTGATTGGAGAGGAAGGCTTCGTTGTTGCTGAGCCAGCCGTCACACTGCTCCACCGAGGCCAGGAACACCTGCAGGGTGGAGCGAGAGCCGATGAAGCTGCGCCTGAGGAAAACTAAACCAGACAGAACATCCACCCTGCTGAGGGAACAGGAGCTGCTCACGTATGACCCCGTATGTCCCATATGTGCTGCATCGCGTCAATAAAAACACTGAGACGAACAAGTCGAAGGTGTCAGAAAAACAAAGACTGTCAGCAATCAATAACATGACAGTCTGACACTGAACTGAATCATGTTAACAGACAGACGTTATGTTTAAAGATAATATCTCTTTAAAACTTGTCGGTGGGTTTTGTGGTTCAGAGGTTCATTATATTCATTTGTTTGACATGTTGGGATAAATGTTCCTCTGATGGATAACTCTGCAGGAAAACTGTTGCCTCTAATTCTGACTGAATGACTATAATGATTATTTCTAGTAACACAATACTAATGAATCGTTTTGGGATCATCTGTTCTGACGTTCTGTCTGATGGTCACCTGCAGGGTTCGGGCCTGCTCCAGGGTCGTGTTCCGGTTCAACCAGGCTTGGTCCAGCCCAGCTTTGGCGTCCTCCAGCTGCTTCAGAGCCTTCTGGATCTCTGCCTTTGAGTCGTGACTCGACCGGATCAGGCCCTGACCGAAGTCCTGGACAGAGTCGATGCGCTCGGCTCGGGCGTCGATCTCCGTCTGCAAACACAGCAGCAGTCAGTTCTCCGTTCCCTCGGTTCGGTGTTACTGTTCCTCCTCTGGTCTCACCTTCCAGTCCTGGTGCTCCACGATGAGCCGCTCGGCCTCAGCTCTGGTCTTTGGGAGTCCTTTCTCTGCCATCTCGCTGCTCTGTTTGAGGCTCCACTCCAGCAGGAGGCGCTGGTTGGCTTTGAACAGCTGCAGCTGGTGAGCCTCCTGTAGCTTCTCCTTCCTGAACACAAAACCGTTCGATCAGTACACCTGCATGATTCACTCTTACACCCATCACAGTCTGAACCAGCGATTATCAAACTGTAGACACACGTCAGCGTTGACAAAGATTAAAAAGAGTCACCGGTGTTTGACTTCTGTGTCCAAAGTCTTCAGAGTTTTCTGCACCTCCTTCTGTTTGCTCTTCAGCTTGTCGCTGAGCACTGATCGAGCCTTCAGGTGATCAGAAACATCTTTCTCCAGAGACTAGACAGGTGGGAGGCAGACGGTCATTAGCTGTTTCCACAGCACATGCATCACCTTTAAATACAGTTAATTGGAACGGCAAAATGTGGAAAAAAAAAAATAAAATCCTCTAATTCACAGGTGGCCAAGGTGGTTTCTGACAGAGCATGACGTGACAAGAGCTTCATGGGAGATGGAAATATCTTCTCTTGCTCGAAAAAAGCATTCAGTTTTATTTCAGCTAACGGATCATTTTGATCAGTTTTTATAAACTAAAATAAAAGTGGTGCAAAAAGCTTAATAAGAAAGGATCCAAAACTAGAACAAAAAGATTTAAAACTAGAACAAAGACATGAAAAACTTCCACATGAAGATGCAAAACTAGAAAAGATGCAAAACAACCAAAAAAGATGGAAAATAATCGCAAAAACGACTCCAAAAAGACACAATATAACCAAAAAAGATGCAAAACTACAACATAAAGATCCCAAATAACCAAATAAAGAATCACAACAACTACATTAAGCTGCTAAACTATCACAGAACCGGACTTTAAATCGCCGTCGGTCACCTTGGCCCTCTCCTGGATGACGCCGGCTTCTCTCTCTGTCTCCTCGTGCCGTTTGATCAGGTTCTCCACACCGTCCACATCAGATCCACAGTCCTGATCCTGCACCAGCAGCATCTGAAGACAGCAGAGGAACTCCATCAGCATCAAACCAGAAACTCCTGGTTTAAGGTCCAGTCTGAGGACAGGACAGGAGACCCACCTTCTCGTTGGCTCTGTCTCGGACCTCCTCCAGCTCCCTGACCAGGCCGTGGACCACCAGCGCCCCCTCCAGCTTCTTCTTGTAGCTGCTCAGATCTCCGTGGAACTTGCTCCACCTGGAGGAGAGCCGATGTTTAGCTCGGAGCTGAGGACGCAGAAGGCGAGGCGGCTGTGGAAGTGTGTTTACCTGTCGTTGAGCTGCTGCCTCCTCTGCCTCACAGTCTGCAGCTCCTCGGCGCTCTGCCTCTTCTCCAGCCGGCCCGCCAGCCGGTTGATGGCGGTGATGTGAGCGTCGTCCACAGTCACGTCCTGAACGTCAAATCAGAAAACATTGAAGTGCTTTGAGCTCCGATGGCTTCAACTCCATAATAACCAGTAAGGGATGAAAAAAAGCAGAGAAGAACGCTGGAGAGCAAACATCTGGGTACTAAAGGATAATCTGTTCACCAACAACCAAAAACACTAGGAAACAGGCAAGTTTTTATTCTTTACGGTTTGAAATGGAAAAAAAACAAAATGAGATGAAACAAACCAAAAAACAAGCAGCTGTGTTTCACTTCACTAAATCAGATCGTCACTGAGAAAATAAAAATTGTTTTCATGTTTTTTCATAGTTGGTTTAAAAAGAGGAAAAATAGGATCAAACCAAAGCAAAAGACAAGCTGTTTTCCACTTTTCCACACTACAGCTGATGTTCTATGTTAACGGGTAGTGGGGAAGTTTTTTGTCTTTTTGTATTTTAATTTCAGAGTTTTGTTTTTTAAATGGGAAAAAAAAGTTCAGTGTTGAAATGTTTTCGTTCTTAGTTCGTAACGCTAAAATAAAACCTGGTTTTGTTTCCTCATTGTTGGTTTGAATTGGAAACAACACACATTGGCTTGGTTTCTTTTTATCTGCTGCTGGTTTAAAATGGAAAATTAAAAAATGGGCCCGTTTACTCGTTACAACAAACCAAACCAAAAACTTTGTGATATTAGATCTTTAGTGTTTATGGACACTTGAAAATGAAAAATTGACCCATTTTCATTGTTGGATGACGATGGAAAAACCGAACATGGACCTGTTTTCTGATTTTTTTGTATAGATGAGGAAACGCATCACACTTTAGGACCGCGATACTGTAAACCCAGACTCAGATCTGTGGAACCTGGACTAGCTCAGCATGGATCAGTGACTCACCCCGTCTTTACTCCCTCTGAACTCGCTGAGCTTCTTCAGCAGCTGAACTCCGTGTTCGTAGTCTTTTCCGACATCTCCAACGTTAACCATCACCTCCTGGAACACCAAGGGCATAAATACATATATGTTTATATCACAGACCAGGGTGGCGCTGATCCGGTTCCATGTATTTCACCGTCTCAGTACCTTGTTTCTGATCCAGGACTCCACCTCCTCCACCTTCTGCAGGAACTCCAGGAAGTCTCTATTGTCTTCCAGAGCTTTTCCTCGGATGGCCACAGCCTTCTTCAGCTCCTCCCAGTGGAGCTCCAGCATCGCTGCGCTCTTTTTTACCTCTTTGGACCGAGGGCGGTGAAGGGAGACCAACTCAGTGCCGGCCTGGAGAAACAGAGCAGAACACAGCCGGGTTAAACCCAAGCTAGCAGCTAGCTAGCTGGCAAAAGACACCATGACAAAGACTTCTGTGATGCTTAACATTAACTTTACAATTTCATTTAGCAGACGGTTTTATCCACAGCGACGGACAACCGAGAGTAGATCACATTCATACACTGACGGCAACAGAGCTGCCATGAAAGTTGTTGCCTGCCATTTCGGATTCAGTGTCTTCCCAAGGACACTTGGACTGTGGAGGGGCGGCGGATCGAACCACAGAACCGCTCTACCACCAGAGCTACAGCTGCCCTTCACTACAAGCTGCTGATTGGCCGATTGTGCCAGACATGTCACATGCTAGAAGCATTCAGTGGGTCTATGGTCAAAGTGGCTTCTTTAGTGATGATAATCGCAGACTTCACAATGTGTTGCTGAATCATCGGGGGTTTTTTTTGGTGATCTGTCTGCTGTTTTCTCCTGGACTCACCTGCAGCACCGAGCTGATGATCTCGCTGTGAGCCAGGATCTCAGCCTCGAACACCTGGTGTTTCTGGAGGAGCTTCATCTTGGTCTGCAGGTTGCTCAGGTCGGCTTTACCGTCCTCCGCCATCTTCTGCATCCGCTCAGACACCCACTCCTCCGCCTGACACACAGGTAACAGGTGAGTCAACACTTGTTTATTCAGAGGTATTCTATAAAGCGTCTGATTGGTCGGCTGGTCACCTGGGCAACATCTCGGTTGAAGATGCACAGAAGCCTGGACAGCTCCAGCTCCTCCCTGCGTTTGACGGACAGCTCTCTGATCCTGTCGCGTCTCTGCAGCAGAGCCTTGAGTCTGGTTTTGACCCGCCCACTCTTCTCGTGGTTCAGCTGCTTCTTCAGGCGGTTGGCCAGCTCCTTCAGAGAGGACAGCTGCAGCAAACATAGGAGGGAAGATCTTACAACCACCAGAAACACAAGACCAAAACACAGCACAGTGGAAAGTCATAAGATCTGATTATCCCAGTTTGTTTCAAAGAGCTGCACATTCACAGCAGACCTTGTCCTCCTGCAAGCCCAGCAGCTTCTCAAAAGCTTCGTGGCGTTTGATCAAACCCTCCGTCTCGTCCACGGTGTTTCCTAGAGTGCTGCTCTGCAGCAGGATCTGCGGACACGAAGCAGACGTTCCATCACCAACGACACAGCGATCCTGCAGAGTCTGAAGATGAAGCGTGAACGTACCTCCTGTGAGTTGGACGTTTTGTCCATGCTGTTAACGTCTCTGTAGAAGATCTGCTCCAGGTGGACGGTTTCCAACCAGCTCTGCTTCTTCTTCCACTGATCCTCCAGTTTGTCTCTTTCTGCCTGCAGAGCCTCCAGTTTCTCCAGCACCTGAAGAACCACAAAAAACAACAGAAATTATTTACAATCTTTCTAAAATATTCATCTGCCAGCAGCTACATGTGCTGATGTATCACCTCATGGATGGTTATGAAGACAGTCAGGTCATTTCAGCTTAATGTTTGATTGTCTAAATAGAGTTAAAATCACCCACAGTGACTCAAAACTTCTCCTAAAAGAAGTGAAATTTGACTGAAGTGAGTTAATATCTCTCAGAGTGACCGAGGTTGGTTCAAAGACGACAAAAAAAATGTCTAAAATGTTTTGAAATGGTTAGAAAATGTTCAACAATTGCTTAAAATAATGAAAAACTTTTGAAACTTGACCAAAAATGAATTAAAGTTGTTCACAGTGACTCAGGTGTGTCCACAACAACTTGGCCTGAAACAACTTAAAAATTGTCCAAAATGGGTTAAAATTGCCACTTTGATGGAACTTGTATAAAACAATCGATATTTGAACAAATTTAGTTCAAATTGTGCAGAATTCTAAGAACGTGTCCACAGTGACTCACAAATTGCCCAAAATGACTTAAAACTTGTCCAAAATTATTGTTAATCTAAATTAGCTAAAATAGGAAAGGATGTAATCTATTATTATAGCTGTTTAATAATTAATTCCTTAGTTCTTTACAACCATGTGATCAACTACAATAGGTTTGTTTTTAAACTGCCGAGCATTAATGCAATGTGAACCACTGTTTTCAGTTTTTAATCAAATTCTAGTTTCTGTACTTCTAAACGAATCTTTCCTTGTATTCGTTGGAGACGTTGCCAGAACCGCTGCTCTTGACTTCTAGCAGAATTAAGCATCCCACAGCTCACCTCCCTCCTGTTGCTCCGGTTCTTGTTCTGCAGCTCCTCTCCCATGTCCCGAGCCTGCTGGTACGTCTTCTGTCGGGCCTCGATCTCGGCCCACAGCTGCTGGTGCTGAGCCAGCTGCAGATCGGCCGTCGCCACGTCGCTGATGCTCTCCTCGGCTGCCATCGCACCGATCAGCTGAGCGCACCACAGCAGGAAGTCCTGCGCCTGAAGACGACGTGAGGGGAGGATACGGTCAGATGATTCATGGCGTTTAATCATTCATCTCTGCAGCATTCACCGGTTAAGACTGTTTAAGATCACAGAGTCTACCACCTTTTTCACAGTCAGACCAATAAACCTACAGTCAAAGCTCCGTGAAACAGTACCAGGATTTTAACTCATGTACGGATCAATGAATATGCCTTTGAGTCAAAAGAAACATTAGGAGACAGTAAGTTTAAAAAAAGACACGAAACTACCATCAAAACAATTCAAAGCTACCTTAAAAAGATTAAAATATCCATGTAAAGATTAAAATCTACCATTTAGAAGTTACAAAACTATACAATAAAGATGCTAAATATCCACAACTGATGCAAAACTACCACCTGAAGATACAAGACCAGAAAAAAAACACACTCAAATACCAGATGAACATTAAAAACGACCACAAAAAGATGCTACATATTTACAAAAGATGCAAAACTACCACATGAAGAAGCAAAAAATTCACAATATGATGCAAAACAACTACAAATAGATCTGAAACATCATAAGAAAGAAAAACCAGGACGCTCAGTTCAGGTGGGCCCTGAGTAACCCTTACCGTGTTGAAGAACATGTATCTCTGGCAGGTCAGCTTCAGCTCCTCCTCTCTTCGCTCGGTGTGAAGTCGGAGCTCCTCCCATCGCTCCACCACTTCCTGCTGCACTTCCTGGAGGCGGAGCTTCAGCTGCGGCGTGCAGAGGTCCATGACGAGCTCGACTGCGTCCAGCTGTTCCTGCAGCTGTAGATGCAAAAGAGACGCGTCAATAAAGCAATGATTTTCTCTCCAAGTCACTTCTGCAGTAAAGACGTCGGTTGAGTAAATTAGACTCTTTCATTAATTTATTTCCCCCAAAGGAAGCAGAACATGTTAAAGAAACTCCTGCAGATCAAACTGAACTAACAAACCCCTTCAGTGCTGCCCAACTCACACTGACTAGCTTAGCAACAATAATGCTACAAACATCCCATAATGCAACCCTCTGTAGAAATCTGAGTTCCTCTTCTCTGTAGTCCAGCTGCACCATGTACAGTCTGAAATACAAGACGAGCCCAACTCTTCCAAACCCAACGAGTCACTGCGATCAGCAACCTCTGACCTGCTCCTCCGTAGTGGCGAGTTCGTGCAGCAGAGCTTCATGTTTCCTCAGCTGCGACATCACTCCTTGAAAATCCTTGGCCACGTTGTCGGGGATGCTCTTGTGTCGCTCCTACAGACAGAAAGCAGCAGAGACTCTGAGGGTCTGATAGACAACAGAGAAGTCCAGATCAAGAATTTCTGCCCTTAATCTGATCCCAGTAATGTAATATCTAGTATTTCCTGATAACAGACACCATCTTCTGAGATTATACACACTTCAAATATTGCAAATGAGCTGTAGTACCTGGTTGTTCCACCAGGCGGAGCCTCTTACTGTTTAATGAGATGGAGTTACAGGTGCTTTTGTAGACCGTCTATAAAGCAGGCTCACCGCCGTGCTGTATACCTGTGGCCGTCAGGTCGATCAACTCTGCAGCATCAAGTTGTAAAAACGTGTCTGCCAGTTGTCCTGTTCAGCTAGCTACCCGAGGCTAATGCTAACACAGGAACTGGAGCTCAGGGTTTGTTAACAGGGACGCTGCTTATGTTCAGGAACAGCAGGATTATGATTACAAGCTTCCAACAACAACTGATGAAGTGTCTCTGCGACGCTCTGCTCCAAGTATAAATCCAGTTTCTATAAATACTGACAGCTTTCCTGGACTGATGAAGTTGCTGCGACAGTATTTGTGGGCATCTGTTGGAGCTAAACAGCTGTTTCCAGCAGCTGGATTAACTACAATGGACACGTAACTCAATCATGTAGGTCAGCTGTGAGGATTATTCTCACATCAAATGGCTGTGAACAGATTAATAACGTTGCAGGTTGATTATTGTGTTTACTGTTTAATACGTTGGATGTTTTCGAGCAAATCGCTGAACAGCAATATTACTTGAAGTCATTGTTTTCTGCTGTTTAGATATATATGTGTATATATATATATATATGGCTACAGTATTTGTTCTTTAAACTCCTAACACAAAAACAGAAATTTATTGACAGTTCTCCAAAACATGTCTTTTCAGTATGAAAACACTAGAAAAATGTCTAAAAATAAACAAAAAATGTATTTTAATTAAAATCTAATAAACATCTGTTCTCATATAATTAAAATAGATTTTACAGGAAACATTTTCAATTTCAAAAATAGTTTAACCAGCAGATGGAAAAACGTTCACTCTATTTCATTCATCCATCCATCTTCTTCCGCTTATCGGGTCGGGTCGCGGGAGCAGTAGGCGGAGCAGGTCATTCCAGACTTCCCTCCCCCCGGCGACGCTTTCCAGCTCTTCCTGGGGGATCCCGAGGCGTTCCCAGGCCAGTCAAGAGATAAAATTCCTCCAGCGGGTTCTGGGTCTGCCCCGGGGTCTCCTCCCAAGTGGAAGCCTCTCCGGAGGCATCCGAATCAGATGTCCAAACCACCTCAACTTGCTCCTTTCGACATGAAGGAGCAGCAGCTCTACTCCGAGCTCCCTCCAGATGTCCGAGCTCCTCACCCGATGTCTGAGGCTGAGCCCAGACACCCTGAGGAGGAAGCTCAATTCGGTCACTTGTATCCGCAATCTCGTTCTTTCGGTCACAACCCAAGGCTCATGACCATAGGTGAGGGTTGGAATGTAGACAGATTGGTAAATCTCTCTTCACCACAACGGTCCCGTACAGCGTCCGCATTACTGCTGACGCTGCACCGAGCCGCCTGTCCACCTCGTGCTGCATTTTCCCATCATTCGTGAACAAGATCCCGAGATACACTACTCACAATAAGTTAGGGATATTGTGAGAGACTCAGTGGATTTCATACATACAGTCTTTGTTTCACTTCAGAGATTTCTGGGACAGGGAGGCTATTGTATTGGGGTGA